TCGACTCAAAATAAATAATTGAAAATCACTAAGATTTTTCTTATCAAAACTATTTTTATTATTGTAATCGAATTCCTTTATTGTCTGCTTTATAATTCTTGAGTATGTCTATATACATATTTAAAACAACGCAATTGGAGGGAATATATATATCACTATTTCCTTTTTCTGTCCTCTGGTTCATTCTTCTCAATCAGATCCAAAAACAAATGGGTCACAAATAGAGACAAGAGGTCAGACTAGGAAAATTTTATCCAATCAGAAATAAGCAAACTTTATATTCACTCTTTCCATTTCATCACTTGAAATCTTTGTTAGATTTTGTCTTTGTCACATCACAATTGGCAATGTATGAATGAATGAATGAATAAATGCGTTGTTGTCATAGTGTAATCACTAAGGCTATGCGCATAAATTATACATATCTTCATGTATGTGTATTGTGTGTATGCTGTGATCTGTGGACCCATATCCTATACAGAGACAAAAGCAGAGACAATACGATAAGCTTATCAAATTTAATCAGCCTTCTTTTACTGTTTTAGATGTGGTTTCATAACGGAGAATACTCTCACTGTCTATACATTGTACGCTAGTAATATTCGTCTTATAATTTAGATATACAGACATACTTATGATGAAGAATCTACATCTTATACAGGGCAAATAAAATTTTCTAATTGAGAAACATAATGATACGCATGCAACCGCTAAACAACATGCGTTGCTTCACACTAAATCAAGTAGTATGTGAGATACAATTTGATTGTACTGAAATCTGGACAGATTTCAATAGCATAGCAACAAACAATTTCTTCTCTCAGGCCTGATACTGGCGGTAGGCTGGCTATTCATCATGACAACCAAATAGGTCAGAATATAAACTTGTCCAATTTCTAGTTTATTAATAAAGATTTTTTTAAAAACATACACTACATTCTAGGTAGTATTCGACCTTATTTACATACTTGATGAATACCTTTTTTAACATGCAGGTTATTTGTCAGGTAATACCACTTTTATTGATTGACTTAACAATACACCGTTTTTTGGTGTCACATATCCTCCCTCCCATGTAGCAAACCCGCAAGTTATCAAGACAGAAGTAGAGACAAGATAGTGGTAAAAACAACAATTCCGACTTTCAAATATGCCAGTTTTAGTTCTCGATATCTGTAATCTGATTTGGCGGAAAGTTCAGGCAACAAAGGCTTCAATAAGAAGTTGGTAGTGTGGCTTTAGTGGATCAGGAGAGGGAATGAATGATAATTTATAGTATCCTGAAGCTGCACATATTCCCCATAACTTATAACACTGAGATGTACAAAGATAAAGATTTCTTGGATAGAAAGTAAACTTAAGAAATTTACACTATCTAATTGTTGAGCGACTAACAACCATACTCATAAATTTATATTCTTTGTAATTATTTTCTCTTCACTCTCTCATAAAGGAACCGTGGAATCTGCTGATTCCGCACAAATGCTTCAACGAGCTGTAACAAGTGTTCATGTCTGTTGGCATAGATGTTTCACGCTTTCAATGCAAGATATACTACGAGCTAATGAAGTAAGTAATTCAACTGTTTCGTCTAATTTAATCTTGTAGTACCAGCTGAGTGATTATAGTAGACGATAAAGATTCGGTCTCTGTTGGTAAATGAGCTTCGAGTACGAATTTTTCAATGATGTTTGAGGATTAACATGTTATTACTTGGTGGATGTTAACCAGCGGTGAAATCCAGGATGCTTACCCCATCCTATTTGGGATTCATCAGCTGGACGCACCTGAATTTTCAGTAGGTAATGGTGTTCCCTCTGGGACTCCAACCAAGTACTCACTGTTTGAAACGCTAAAGGATTATCCATTAGGCCACTTGAATCAAGTTTGTTGGATTCCAAGCTCAGGGGAAACACTATCACTCATTAGGAGTGCAGGTACATCTAGTTGACGAGTCCAACATAGGATGAGACGGGCACTCTCTATTCCACTGCTCGTCACTATCCACCAAATAATTTAACTTCTATTTAAATATATTTTATTAAACCGCTATCCTCACGAACATATTTATAAACCTGTATAGCATAGTGAATGAAAAACAATCTTTCTTTTGAACAACGGAATAAAAGGGTATTCAGTCAGTCTAAATTGTGCTCAACATATAGAGATGGGATTGTCAATAACACGTAAATTATTGTCTCCACTGTTGAAATAAAACATCAGTCACAACCAATTTATTACTAATGGTTCGAAATAGACCATCTATCTACTCTCATTTATACTTTAACATACATTCCTCAATGCATACATTATTTTAAGAGAACTATTTTTAGACTATCTGATTTGAATAAATATACAATTACATTTGATCTTCATTTCAACGTCAACTTAACAATTAATAAATTAAATATGATGTTTGCTTGTTTCTTTAATTTTAGTTCCAGACAAGTGGATATTTACTTAGAAAATTTAAAAATAGTAACGGTTGGCAACGTCTATGGGTTGTTTTTACTCAGCTATGTTTATTCTTTTATAAAAGTTATCGTGATGAATGTCCGCTAGCGAGTTTACCACTTTTAGGCTATACTATTAGTCGACCGGGAGTAGACGATCAAATACGACGTGATAATGTATTAAAAATGCAATTCAAAAATCATGTCTACTTTTTTCGCGGAGAAACACGTCATTCATTTGAAAGGTAAGCGCGCCTAGTTTATTCATCATTCAGAAATGTAACAGTTAATAAAACATGATACTTTAATTGACAGGTGCTTTTTTGCTGTCTGAAAATGTCACACATGAGAGTTGCCTATGCTGTATCCTGGTTACTTAAGTCGAATACACAGTACAACTACACTATATGAGTGGCAGTCATTTAGATTTACTATGTGATTCCATTCACCTTGATCTGTTTTTTTTTAATTATTGAACTGTATACTTCCTCCAGAAGATACTGAACAGAAACTGATTGCTAAATTATACTTCGCATACGTATATATTCCAACTACACATTTGGTAGTGAAACAAATAGCATGAAAAAAGCTAGTTTTATACAATACAGCTGCTATGAAACAGCAGTAATTGAAACGCTTCGATTTCTAAATAGCCTACTAATGTAATGCATAGTAAGGATGACTTCAAGTATCATATTATATTATTCACTTAAAGCATAAGTATATGAAATCTCAGATAATTTCGGTAAACTATAAGTGATATCAGCTGAAGTAGAAGTTTGTATATACTACACTGCAGCAAAGAGTAAAGGTTCATCAACACTATATAAAGAAACGCTGGATGATGTATGAACGAACTACACTGAGATAATTAGTTTGTTTCACATACCACATTACGGAATCCTTCGAAATGAGGACAGGATTAAGACAAGGCTGCCTACTATCGCCAATGATTTTCCTGATTACAGTAGACTGGATAATGCGACAAACAGTGGGCAATGAGGAAACAGGCATAAAATGGACTAACACAAGAAACTTGGAGGATCTGGACTTCGCCGATGATATATGTCTGATTTCCCACAAACTGGAAGATATGCAAGCGAAAAGCAACAAGTTGGCAGAAGAAGCATTCAGAGAAGATAGGACTTCAGGTGAACATAGAGAAAACAGAGGTGATGAAGATTCCTGGGCAACACCACCAACAGACAACAATCAGCATAAATGGGAGGAACCTGAAAGAAACAACCTCTTTTACCTACCTGGGAAGCATCGTTTCAACCACAGGCGGAACTGAAGAGGATATCAAAGCAAGAATCGGAAAAGCAAGACAAGCTTTCACTACTCTCAAGTCTGTGTGGAGGTCAACAACACTCAGCATCAAAAATAAGATCCGGATTTTCAAACCCAATGTGAAGTCAGTGCTACTATACGGATCAGAGACTTGGCGCGTCACGAAGAGCACTTCGAACAAACTACAGACCTTCATCAACAGCCGTCTTCACTCAATACTCAAGATCAGATGGCCGGCCAGGAAAGATCAGCAACAGAGATCTCTGGGAGCAAACCAACCAGGAACCGATTGTGAAACAAATAGGCAGGAAGAAATGGAGGTGGATTGGCTGGCCATACTCTGAGAAAACCATCAAGTGACATCACTAGACAAGCCATTGCTCGAGTGGAACCCGAAAGGGAAGCGGCGGCGAGTTGGTCGTCAGTGCAAGGGTGACTTGGAGGAGGTCATGTGAAGAGGAGATGAAAGCGTGTGAGCAGATTTGTAGCCAGGTGAAGACTCTAGCAGAGAACCGAACGCAATTGAGACGCACGGCTGAAGCCCTATGTTCCTCTAGGAATTAGAGGAAACAATAATAATAATAATTGAATAGTGACCATCAGTGCAGACAATCAGTTTAAATGAACAACTACACGAAGTACTGAGATACGACTATTCAGTCAGAATTTGGATCTTTTACTAAACACTATGACATTACAGATATTTTCATTTCACTCTGGAAATGAATTAATTGATACTGATGGAGGAATATACTGACATTTCCATAAGTTAACTAAATAAAAGTCTATTCACAAGCACGTAAAATGGTGGATATTACCCAACAGGGGAACTTTTTCAATAATAATCAATCATTTATCCATGCAGCAAATTCTAGATAAAAATTGATCTTAAGAAATATCCACCTTCTAATGTACAATAATGGTTATTTAATTTATCTTTTATTTCAGATGGGTTGAATACTTGAGCTGTGCAGCTGGTGCTAGCAGACCGTCTAATACATCAGCTACTTAAATGAGATTGTTAATAAATCAATCTATCTATCGATCGAACACAATATTTGTTTAAATTGAAAGACATGGAGGAGGAGCCCAATTAGCTTTTTACAAAATAAAAACACCATAGGATCAACGCAGTTCAAATCATGTACAGCTATATGATAATTATCTGTGGAATTATTTTTTACAAATCATGCAACATCTGATCTTATTTATAATAAAAAATAAAGATGAACACAAAATATTATCAAAATGTATTTTCTTGCATTTAGCATTCATTATAATTAAGGGATGAAGGGTAGTCTAGTAGTACAAGGTTGCAGCAGCATTAACAACCAATTTTAAAAGTTGTTTCTCGTGAGAAATCAAGTGGTACATTTAAAAGAAAGAAGAAAAAGAAGCTTTGCGCGTATTTATGGAAAATGACAGCAATCGAAATTCAAGTGAAGTATTTGTTTGTTTGTTCCACTCTAATAACTAAATAAGTGTAGTTGGAAAATCCTAAATACAGACGGTATACAATAGTAGTTCGATACAGAAACTGCCGCTCTCCCCCACCCACCGACACCACAACGGAGAGAATCAGTAATTATGACATTTAACGGAAAGATAATGATGCATAATTGTAAGGATAAACATCTGAAGTATTAATAGGATAATTTATTTAAGTGTATCCTTACGACTACTAGGCGTCATTTATACTTCCACTAAGATGTTAATAATTATTGATTCTTTGAGAAGAGATTTTCTGTGTCGGACACAACTTAAGACTGAATTTATATTTGGTAAATAGACGTGATAAATAATAAAATCAACAGGATTTTTAAAAGTAATAAACAAAAATGCACTCTATATAATGGTTGTTCTTTTTCAGAATATGAAAAGAAATCAAAAAAATACAGCAAAATGCAATAAAATGTTTAAGAATACAGGAAGGAGGTGATCATAGTTTCATATATATATTTGGGAATATCTTATCATTGGTGTCACATATTTTGTTAAAATGAAAGAAAGAGTGTAAGCACTTGTGGGGGCAGGAAAGCATTACTTTGACACACTAATCCTGAGGATAGTTGTCAATAGATAGGAGGAATACCATATTATAACAGATAAATATTATATTATATATATATATATATATATATGTTAGGGATAGTCTCTCGAAATTCTCATTGTTCAATCTTTTGAGTAATCATCTGTAAGATAGAAAGAAAGAAAAATAAATAAAAATCTAGATGAACATAGTGTGCATACGAATAAGTAGCAGACAGACAACTGCCGTAACTGCTTCACAACGATTTTCCTCAATAAAATATCACTCCAACAAATCATAGGCTTTTCTGTCTTCACCTTATATAGCTGGGGTACATAGGATTCATCACTGCTATAAACATTCAAAGAGATACTGTTCTGAACTGCTAATAAAGATTAAAACAACTAAATGGTATATTGTTAGTCTTCCAGCAAGAGGCTTATTTTCTAACACATTAACCTCTGTAAGTGGTGTTCCTGATGTGGTACAATTATTTTATAGCGAATTTAGCAGCATTACAAAACAACTTTAACTTAATTATTCCTAGAATACTGTCAAAAGTCCCCTGCAATATAATAAAGACGAATAACTATGCTGCTTAAGAATCGCTTATATCTTCTTACGTGACTAGACTAAGAAGTAGAGATTCATACGTCCCAACATCTTAGTTACTTCAAAACACAAATGAGATTTCGGTTGCATTTACAATGCCAATAAGAAACTTTAAAAAAAGCCAAATCGATAAGTGGATACTAAACATATTTCTCCCTAGTCATGTGTATAAAGGTTTTGAAAATACACTGCTATCAAATAACGTACAAATGAGTCTACATGAATTACCTGCAGTGGCGAAAAGTGCTCGACAATCTAATAACGATGCTAATTCTGTGATCAGCTTATGTAGTACACGACAATCCATTAATTCTGATCCCGGTAGAGAAGGAGAACACGAAGGATAAAAAGAAGGTCCATGAAACCCTCGATGAAGCTGAAGGACAATATTGCAGAAACAATATCGTAATATTATTGTTCGTAAGAAGTCATCCGAAAGGAATTGTTGGTAGGAGTAATCTGAAGATGGATAAACAATTAAAACATACAATTAATCAATGATCATTGGAAAATAGAAACTTAAAGCTTCCATACAATTGTAGTACCTATGACGGTTTAATAGTAATACAAGTGATGTAGCGATCATATTGTAACGGTAGAAGACGAGAGACTAGGTAAAGGAATCCTTATTTTGGTATTTGTTTTCTCTATATAGCAAAATTATGTACACCTTATCTTCGACGGACCATTTGCTACTTCTAGCCTATATATTGTGTTCCTTTCACGTCCACCATGTATCTCTGTAAAAGCAGAAGCCAAAGTATATTTTCAATTGATCAAACCTCTGTTTATATATATACAGTTTATATTCTTTAACCAATCACTGAGCGTGCAATTTCGGTTTACATCAATGGACATGAAATAGAATGTTCAAATACACATATGGTATCCTGTTACTAATGCAGTATTGAACTGTGGGAATATGTGAGAATAATATTCCATTGGAACACATTGTCCGTATCACACCACTACATCTCCACAATGCTGTATCATTTGTTGCCTCTGTCATCAAATCCGTCTCCCTGCTATTTGATGTTTTTATGCTGATGAACGTCTCTCTATATACTACTGATAAACCTTATCAGTAGAACACGCCACACAATATGGACAAACACAAAACTAAGTTGCCCAGAATAATTACTCGTAAGTACCAATTTATGAGTTGTACTTAGAGTTGGAATAAATAACCAAAAGATAATCGATGAATGACGCAATGCAGATTATGTTTCAAACAGTAATATTAAAGCCCAAAGTACACGAGTGAAATAATGATTGGAGTAAACATGAAAAATGAATTAGAACCTTAATGAAATTCGGTGATAATTTATATCTAATGTAAAGTGAGAACTCGAGAGTATAATAGAAAAAAGTGTTAAATAAAAATGACTAAATTGGAAAATGTTCAACTAAATGTTTCAATGGATTGTAGCCATGGTCTAATGTATAACTTTTGTTCATTACTAATCAATACACTTTGGAAAAACAACAAATTGAGCGAAGAAATTTATTTCTTCGCTCAATTAGTTCCTCATTATCGGCTCTACACTAATATATATATATATATAGCATTAATCATGTGGTTATTTTAGTCTATAAGAAATTACCAGTTTTATGTACAGCGGCGGGGGGCGGGAGATTGAAAATAAGAGTTTAGAAGTCATAAAAACAACTAACGAGTACATTTTAGCATCAAGACATTTAGATTTTGAAGGAAGGGTGGAGATAATTACGAGATTCAAGACCAGTTAATTCGTAGGGGTCAGCAATAAGAGATTTTGTGAAATAATGATGACTAAGAATAATAGAATGACTACACAGAATTACGTAAGATACCGACAAGTTGATTGAATTCCCTAGAAATACAATCATAAAAAAATTACAAAGTCAAAACACAGTTACAAGGGGAGGGAAAAATTGTCTGTAATACTTATTACATATTATGCAGTTGGCTATTGCAAAGAAAGAGGCTGTACCAGCACCTTTGGAACACATAGATTTCGCTTGTTTAGATGTATTCCGATTGCTTTCGTTGTATGTAAAAGTGATACTCGTAAACTATGAGAAAGGTTGGGTGAAACATGACAACTGACTTTGTGTTAAAGTCAACTTGATGCTCATTATCGACGAGATGAGCTAGTATTCAACTGGTTATAGCTTTATTTAGGCCTTTGCCAAACCAAGGTGGGAGGTGTTTAGAAATTCTACGATGAACTTGCTTGACTGTGTACCTAATGTAACTAGCTCCGTACGAACAGTTAAACTAGTAAATACTTATGATGATGAGCTAGTTGGAAAGGAATATAAAACCATTTACATGGACAGGCAGCTTTTTTCTCTTCAAATAATCACATGAACAAATTTGTTATGATTTTCGTCGAATAAATTTACAGTCATCACTTTTAGCTACATACATGTCTCATCGGTGCCAAAGATGACCGAAATCAAAGATTGGGGGACGATCTTTAACTAACAATGCTGACATTACATCAGCAACTACTTTACTAAGGTTGATACAACCAACTCCCTATGTAAATGAGATGAACAGCCTATCCGACCACTTCGTTCTGTTCCCTCAAACTACGGACAGATTCAGACCAGTGAAAGTCAGTCTTGAGTTATAAATGTCATATTATTTATTGCCCATCATCTAATTTGATAATTAAACTAGAGCTCTTTCACTACGCGCGCAGAATACCTTTCTAATACTCCGTATGAATCTTTTACCTTATGAACGGATAGTGAATATAGCCAGTTATTATTCTACTTTAAAAGGTGATCACGCAATCCTTCCTATCACCTAAAACAATTCTAACTGATGCATCTAGAAATACTCGGAGCACTTAAGAGATATTCCTTAAATTGGTTGTAACAACCATTTCGTAAGAATTCCACCCAAAATACTTAAAAAGCATTAATGTGTAAGCCACATATACTGATAATAATAATTTTAGGAATTTTAACGTTAGATGATAGAAATTGATCAGTTCCAAGGCTTGAACCCACGTTATGTGGAGGATAGCATTCATCGGTTGAATGTTAGTAACTAATGCTCCACAGGAAATACCGATTCGCACTACTCAGTGTCAAGATAACAGACTTGATTTGTTAGGTACAAAGGAAAAAATGACTTCCGTAAAATGGGACACTACACAATTAAAATGACTGCTCAACGAAAAAAACACAATAATCTTCTATATGTTGATATCAGAGTTAGTTGAGGTGTATGAATGAAGTATACCGTAAGCAACAAGAATGATATACGCTGCCATATATATATATATATATATATTGTGAGGTTATTTGTTCACTATTGAGGATTATCAAACATAAATAAATAAACACATACCTAAACTCCTGGAGCGTGTCAGAACTTGATAACATTCTGTTAGAAAAGAATCTATGATATTTTGTGCTCGATCCCATGTTTTCTGAGTTATTTTCGTCAAATTGCATGTAAAGCAAAATGCAGTTAATGGACAATGCAAGAATAATGTAAACAGATTGCCTCGATGCCGTTGACTTTCTAATTTCTCTGGGATAACTTCAGGTGAAAGAAGGCATACGAACGGTTGACCGAATAGATTAGGAATATTCTGTTTAAAGAAATACAAATACATTTAGATGATGAATAAGGCAGCAGATAAATATTACGGGGAATTATAAACTAGACACCTAAGATTTCATTTTTGCAGCAGAAAGGGGCGCATTGAAGAATACACATCAATTTGAATAGTTATTTGCATGAGCAGTTCCCGCCGAAATAAGCCAATCTGTACTACCTATTGCATATGAGAACAGTTTTCTCAGCGACTGTTATTCAATAATGTAAAACCACATTGTCAGTTGAAACTTCCCTTAATTTATCTTACCAACAACTGCTTTTACGTGCTGATTTTGAATAACTCAGGTAAAGTTGATAGAAAAAGTTGAAACTGTTTAACAGTTTTACTCATGAGAACTATTCATTTTAGCGTTAAGCGTAAGCAGTTTTTAACGTAAAGCATATAGGCAATCTTTTAGTTTTCTTGCAATATGGGGGGCCATATCAGTATTTTTATTTACAGTTGTTACCAATTGGTAGACAGCTGAAGTGAACATACCAAGACGGCAAACTATTTACTAGGAATACAATAAATTTCGCTTAATCTATAGGGACTAAAACAAAGTGTCACAGAAGACTAACACAGGTACTCTGTACAGGCCATCCGATGAAGTAAGCACAGTGTATTCTTTTCGCTTTTATAATCAAATAAGAGACTGATTATTACTACTAAAGATAAGCCAATTTGACACTTGGTAAAGTAAATTCAAATGTACTTAGACTATTTGCACCCTCCACTACATGACAGTAACAGTCAGATAACTAGCTACAAACTTAACGGTAATACCTTTAACCTAATAATTAGCAATAATAAGACTGATAAGCTGTTTAAAGGTTATGAATGGACTTTTTTTAAATGTGTACTCGTGAGAAATGTTTTCATTTGGGCGAATGTCACAAACACCGCGAATGTTATATATATTAACATTTAGTTACAAGAAGTTTGAGGGATCGGTACTCAGGTTACTGGGCTACATTTGTTTGTAGTCTACTGGTACAGAGTAAGATTCAGAAGATGCAAACGGTTTAATTATAAATATTAAAAAAGTGAAGAAAGACAACTAAACGCATTGGAAGGAACTACATTAATCAAGTCAGGGTTGATGGTGCTGAGGGATTCGAGTTCGTACAACACAATGGCCAGAAGTTGGTAACCTTAACCAAAATACGCCATAGTTCTACTTCAGGTTTTATGAGACTCTACTGTAAACACATTAGAATCAAAATCCCCATTTCTATGACTTTGATTCAGAAGTAATTGGATTTTTCACGACGTTTTAACGCAAATACTTCAAGTGTTTGTACAGAAATTCTGAAGAGACGAATTGTCACACCGCTAGCATCAATGCTTGAAATTCATAAACACATAGGTAAAAAAAAAGAAAACGTACCCGGAAAGTTGAACTGTTGTCACTGTCAACTATGACAAACAGAGGTTTGCGTGTGTAAAGAAGGAGATCACCGGGATGAATGCTATTTAAGAAAGTAATAATGATAGTAATAATAATAAATAACTGTATACAATGAAATCAATAAAAAACTACTCAAGAACACAACACTATAACCAAGACTTAATCTAATTAGACAGACATCTACCACAAATGTCCAGTCCCTATTAAAGCGCCTAGGCAATATAAGCATGAACAAGCCAGAACTTTTCTTCATCAGAACTTGCATTATTTGCTATATCAACGAGATAATTCGTTACCTATCAAAGAATGAGAATAATTCATAGCAGTCTGCTGTGTGAGACACGTCCAGGAAAAGTAGAAGAGGTGAAAAAGTTTACAAGATTTCAACTAAATGGCTTCATAAGCATTACTTAAGCGTGATAATAGACTAATAGTTCAAAGTAAGTAATGTCTGTCAATTGACGGGACTGAGAGTTTTCATCTACTGAGATGACCGGAAGGGCCAGTGAGTAATTTCAGAAAGCTGATTTGGACCCCACAATTTCGAATTTATTCTTAGCAAATTGGGACATATGTATCCACAATACATAAACTCCTTTTATAGTGACACAACTCATGTTCAAATGAATTATTTTTTTTTCTACAAGCTACTTAATTGTACAATGGCTAATCTGATCTGTTGATAACACTGGAAACGTATGAATAGCAAAATGAATGGATTTAATGAATAATGTGTTTTACAATATGCAGAGAAATAAATACAATTTAATGCTAATTTACTGAACCAGTTACCTAAATATTAACAGGATGTAGCATAATTCTATCCAGCATAATAAAAACAAGCCTCCTAGTTATTCACAACTTATCTTGATAAATTTAATCGAACGAACACACTGGAATCATGTATATCGGGTCCCAGTGGCTAAAGGCTTCACGTGCCTACCTTGCGACCGGAAAATCCTGGACTCCAACCCCGGTGGATGTATACTACGGATGAGTCCAAAACTAGGACGAAACAACTATCCTATACGCACTGGTTTTTACTGCTTCTCTAAATGATATTAATCAGTGGTCAAAGTTGAGAGGAATTATAGATAGATGTCGTGTAACTCCCTGGTTATAGAATATTATGTTATCTACCAGCTGTTCTACGAAACCAAAATTTATCGATTCGAATTCGCCTGGATTCTTAGCATATTTGAAGTTTATCATTCATTCATTTATTTATTGACCTATAGTACTATAATAAATAAGCAATCAACAAAGTCTTAGTTAATTTTATTGGAATACTAATTCAAAGAAGCTTTCAAAAAATCTATGAACAATAAATAGAAGAAAAATCTTACCAATGAGGTTCTTTATAGCTACACCGTTTTGGTTTTATACAGAATTCTTGTTCATGCCGATTATTTGTAACAACTCCACCATAATCGTAACCAGCTGCTCCTAAATGTGCTGTATAAGGAAGGAAATAAAAAGAGAGTGGAATTTAGTCCAACACAAACAACTAAATAAACACTAAAATAAAGATGTGCACAGGATGACTAATCTAATCACACGTTATAGAGAAAATAACGCAGGTTAGTTACAAAAAAAAAATTCAGATCGATTGTGTATCTAGGCTTCAGCTGTGTTGTTAAGGCATGATTAACACTAATCCCCATAACAACAAAAATAGTGTTCGTATCTTTCTCTCTCACTATAGCAACAAGAACTATAATTCAAAATTAGACAACTAATATATACAGGGTACACATCATGACCTTAGTCATTTAATTTAGTTGCTAGCTTAGCAACTAAAACAGTCTGGCATAGTAACAACGTGATCTGAACACACACAGTAGGGCAGACGTGAAATGAAAGAATTGGTAACAGAAATAAAATGTGAATAAATCGACAAATGAAATTTGACTTATATGAGTTACTCAGAGTATGTTCATATTGCTATGCATCCACCTACTAGACAACGTTTCCTTGTGATAATCAGTTTACATATATGTATATAATTTCGTACTGAGCGGTCATCTGTTATTGAGGAGAAAATGAATGTGAATATATACGTACCACATTTTTTTTAAGATCTTAGGCAACAGAAACAACCTAGGGGTCAAGGTCACTTAAGTCAGCATCAACTTAGTGGAGAAATTAGCTGACAACCTAGTTAAAATCAAACAAACGGTGGATATGATGTGCTCCAATTTAACTGAATGGTATAACCCATTCGTTATCGTTACTCAAGAGTTCAATCGTCAAAAAATGAAACATATCCACTAAATCAAGGCACTAATGATACTTATTTATTCATATGCCTTAAGTCAACTATATGATAGAAAAGTGAAAGCTTAATTGAGTTATATATGAACCACTATTCTGCCACAAAACAAAGCTGAACTAGGAGTACAAAGTGTTGTAAACTGTAAAAGTAATACATCCATTCACACAGCTAGTAGTACTCAGGATTTTAATTAACTTACACGAAAAAATGCGTTTTTATTCACAAAAGCTTTGGAATACTTGATATGTCAGAGGTCTTCACAAAATGCATTTTCGCTGCATAATGAAACAATTAACAGTACTGAATACGAACTTCTTTTATTTCAACCCTCAATAATGAATACCACTATTATTATGTATTGACATCAGATGAGGATTCGACAAAATATGCCGTTTTACACTATCTGTAAAACTTCTAAGTCGATATTCTCTACAACTTTGCTCTCCACGTATTAGCCAGGATGATAACATCGTGTTTATTTTATTGGGACGTAGAAAAGTAGACTCTCAAATCTTACATGTATACAACTTGAAAATCATGATTTCGGCATAATAGTGGGACAAATGACTAACTAACAACAGAGGAATGTTAACAAAATTTTATGATTGGTTGGAGGATTTTCATTATGCGCTGACTTCCGTTAGAGAACCATCTAGGAGTACTGGACGGCGTTCCGTCCTGGTTCGGGACTCCTCATCAGTACGCGCCCACTGGGGTTAATTAATCTGATGCTCACTAGCTACTGGCCCTATTCAAGCAGTTAACCTGGGGTTCTAGTGGGAAGCTGTGACCGGTAGGGTACAGCAGGTCAAAGATGAGGCAGTAGCTCATCGAAGAAGATATTGCGAAGTGGTCACACTATGTCATGAATTGGCAGAAGTTAGAATTCATGGACTGGCCATTGGATCGGGTCCCAGTGGCTTAATGGTCTACGAGCCGTGGCAGTGGGTGCGTACTGATGAAGAGCCCTAAAGTAGGACAGCCGTCCAGTACTCGCAGGTGGTTTTCCAGTGGTTCTCTAACTGATGTCAGCTCATGATGAAATCTTGTAACCAATCAATCAAATCCCTACAAACCGATACTTGAAAAAATTTTTTTATGAATTTGTTAAATAGCGATCTTGTTGAAGAACTACACTGAATACTCTGAGGTACCAAACAACACTAACCTGTGCGGTATGGTTTTGAACTGGCAACTAAATTCCTAAGTCAATCGGAGTCATATGCATTAAGGTCGAATAGAAAGCAAACGTTCAGTGTAATGTAACCTTAGTAAAACGCTGTGTTGCCTTTGTGTATTTAATCAACAGGTATCTCTACGAAACAAACTTAATTATTCTTCTCACCTGTTTCAGTTATCAAACAGAAATTCATTATTACGAAATCTAAATGCCCCAAAACTAAAACATCACTAAATCAATTCTTTTCAATATACAAAATATCAAGAAAGTTATTTCAACTTCTTCCTCAAGGGGCTACTAATGAATGTACACATAATTTAGGAGGATTTACGTGATAAAGATGGGGTATCGGTCGTGGTGGCCTCGGTTTTAGTGTTTACTTCATTTACCAGGTGCAATAATACCCGTTTCATGACATGAAGCAAATGAGCATCAACATAAAAGGGGGCTATTTAACAAATACAGAAATGAAGCAAATCTAACCACTAATAAGTTGCCAGTTTAATTACTGTAGTTGTTTGCATACAGTCTCGGTGTTTTGGTCTTTAGCGTAATCACACTGATCTGTAAATTATAGGTTATGATAGCTGAAGAAATCAATATGATTATTTAGTGACTTTATTCTTGGTTCATTGTTGACAGTAGTATACAAGAGATTTTAGGAGTTAAAAATCTTCGTTATCAGTTTAGTTCGAAGTCGTTATGATACTTCCCGAAGACTAGTTGCCTTTTTAACAGGCACTTTCTTATTCCAAGAAATCAATATGTGTATTTCCCCCATGTTCATTACTGTATAGTGTGAGACAACATACAACTTAAACATCACGATAACCAACCTTTTAGACTATAAGGGTTAAACAGATATAATAATAATAATGCGAAACCACCAATGAATAGCATCAGAAAAACAGGAATACACATACAGAAATGATACTAAACGGAATAAATACAAATGTGAGTGGAAAGATACAGATTAAATTTGGATTTGTGAGAAAATGTGGAATTTCATAACAATAAAGAATCAATACATTTCAGTCTTCAATTCCTCAACAGGTAATGCTCTGAGTATGTGCTAGGGATGTGTAAGACTTTTATCCTATTACTATAACCATCAGTGTCATAAAAAAATAAATTTGAGACTAGCTTTTGGCAAAGCAAGTAGATATCAAAGCAGAATATATTTTCCCTAGAGAATGCGGTAAATTGGCGTGTATGTGCATTATAGACATAAAGAGTGATTCTGTGAACTCAGAGTCTGTAAGGACTATATTCATTAGTCCTAATTACCATTCAGCTGTTCGCATACATGAGAACATATCTTATTTGAATCCATGAACTTGTTTCTAATTTATTAGAATTTCACCTATAAGCTACAGTTCGTTACAAGTATGAAGGTAAGGCACTGATAGATTTCAAGAAATATATATATATATAGTAAACAGAAACTTCAAATTAATCCAGAAATGGAGTAGAATTCTTACACTCATTATTTTTTACAACAGGAGCCCGAACACCATCAGCAGATATATAAAGTAACATTGCTCCAGTGGATGAAAGATCCTTGAACGCTGTAGCAACATAGGTATTGAACTGAGAAAATGTAGGTTTGTACAGAAGATACTTGTGAGGATTTGTTACTTCAGGTGAATCAAGAAGATAGTTGGCAGAAATACCATTTTCCAAACCGTCAGTCACACTCAGTTTAGAATTCCGACTGTTCAGCATCTGTCCCCGTGGGTCACGTTCAAACGTTTGTAACATGCGGTACATATCTAATGACAACTCACTAAAGCGAATTTGGTCATAGCAGTTTCCAATAATTAGAACTTCAGATAACTGTAAATGACCAGTTTCATGTCTTTCGATTTGTGGGCTGTTAAATGCATTGAGCCTTTTTGAAGCATAAATTTGTGGTGTATCACAGTCGACGATTTCACATATTGAGTCACCATCCACGAAATCTTTCATTTCTTGAATCACTACAGCCCATCCCAAACGGTCATCAGAATCATAAATATCAATATAATCATCGACCTGTTTAGAGAATTCCTAAAACTGATAGTTTATAAAGCAAACAACATACTCTAATTAGATCATTTGCAAGCTTCATTTTGCGCAGAAGAAGACATACTAGTATAAACCGAGCATAGTACCGAAGTTTCTTGATCATGAGATCGGGTCGTTCTTCTTTATTGGCTTTTGAGTAGTAGTCACGAGTACGAATAGCTGAGAAGAATGCGAATGACTCATTCAGGTAATGCAGATCACTAGTGCGTAAACTAAAAAGAAGAGTAGAAAATTCACAGAGAACTTACTAATAGTGATGGTATAATTGACCAATTTTTGACGCAACTTCCCCGATTTGCCACCGCTTAAGTCCATACAATTCGTCTAGCTTTTGTCTGTGTTGCTGCTGAAATTTCCATAACTTTGTGTAAACATCGAAAGTGCGACCGAAATAAGCCTTCCACTGTCTATGACCATGCTGTGGTAAATCACTAAAAAGAACCAAATTGAAAATATTATGAGCTTGAGGCATTTCACGACAGTAAAAAACAGTGAGAATCCTCAGCAATCAAAACTTCGACAGACAAACAAATACCTGTTGAAAGAAATGTAGTTAACGTGACTAAACGATCTAATGGATGACGCTCTGGTATTCGGAGCGATGACTATTGAGCTCGAATCTCAGCGCACACACCAATACTCACCACAACGAAGGCAAATTAAGTTAAAGGGGAAAACTCATCTACGTTCCTACAACTAATGGTAAATATATAATCGAGATCATGAAACAGACAGTATCTAGGCAGGTATACGAGTTCACATAATAGGTAATTGAATTAGATCTATATGTATCAAAAGGAAAAATAGCAATACCCACCAATACTCTTACAATTATGCTACTAAATATACTTTATTAGCGATTACAGAAGACTAATTTAAAAACATGAAAATATTATTCGCGATGTCAGTACTAATGTTAATCCAGATTTGATAAGTTTTTTCATATCACTGGTAATTCGTTGAACAGTTAAAGCATAAAATATATTCACGACAAACAAAAACAGAAAACACCCAAATAGTGTATTCACAAAATAAATACATTGGTTGACTGGTAAGTTGTAGAACCATGTCGTCTCCCTTTAGATCACAATATCCCATTTCTTTTCCTTTTCTCCTTACAGTTTCATGGACTTCCTATTAACCCTTGACCACGTATGGAGATGAAGTGTAAGAAATAGAGCTACTACGTAGTAATGTCAGGTTCTTCAATGAAACCTGCCAGGAATACAGTTTTACTTGATGGCTTCTGACAAGGTAAAAGTTATTACGAGTATAAGGTCTGCTAGGCGTACACGTCTATACAACAAAGTCCAGGAATTAATATTGGGAAAGTCTGACCAGACACAAGGTTATTTCTGATGCACTGAGTAAAATTTGAGGATTTTACATCACGAATTCTGTACTTAAGACTTTACATAAAAACTTAGAGTAATCTGCCACACAAAGGCGTGGTTTCAATTTGTGAATTTTTTTCAAAATTTCCTGTGTCCAGTTAGTATTCCCACTGTTTGACATAGATGAAACAGCTTGAAGGTAGCCAAAATTACGTGCAATAATGAAATCTCTAACACCTACACTACTCGTGAATACGTCTCGTTGAGGCTTTTCTAATGTTTATAGAGAAAATGGGGAGTAAAATAGGGTTTCGGTTTGATGACCGATATTTATACACTTGTCCAGTAGCCAAGGTAAAAGCATAAAGTATCGAAAGGGTACTAGATCTAATTCACAATTAATAATCTAACAGGAATGATGCCCTTGGATATTTTCATAATACTGTAAACTAGCGCGAGTGGTTCAGTAGTAGAACGCTCGCCAACCACGCATGTGGTCCTGGGTCCGATCCCTGGCCGACGCAATCCTAGACCTTGAGAAGTTGGTAGTAAGGTTAAAGATGGAAAGTTGGGTGTGAGGTTAGGAACCTCGTGGAAAAATAAAACCACTGCTACCGGAATTTCAAAGTCTTAGCATGAAGCCCTATGTTCCACTTGGGACATAAAGGAATAAAAGTAGGAATAAACTGTGCAATAACAAACAATGAAGGCAAATCATAAGTGAGACTATTTGTGAGAAAAATGGCTCCTTAATTAGCTCTCAGGATAGACGCCTCGAACGCTGGAAAGAACACTTCGAGGAACAGTTTAACTTGCCTACAGCTACACTGAGCCTCCCCGCCATCCAACACACCCGAATGGGACATAGACACTGGCCCGCCGTCTGTAAGTGAGGTCACCAAAGCTATCTGTAATTTGAAACGAGGCAAAGCGGCAGGACCCGACAGAATTATTCCGGAGGTGTTTAAATATGGGGGTGACATACTAGTATATAGTTTAACTAAGGTACTAGGTAACGTCTGGGAATCAGAGACGGTTCCATCAGATTGGGGTAAGTCACTTATTATACCAATATTCAAGAAGGGAGACAAGTCTTCATGTGATAATCATAGAGGAATCAGCCTAACGAACATAGTCTCCAAAATCCTAGGCTCAGTAATCATGAACAGACTAAGCCGAACTCGGGAGGAACAAACGAGGGCTTTTGGCCAGGTAGAGGGTGCATAGATCATATCTTCACTCTCCGACAGATCCTAGAACATAGACACACTTTTAGGCGTCCAACAATTGCCATATTTCTTTACTTGAAGGCGGCCTTCGACTCCGTGGATCGAGAGGTTCTATGGCAATGTTTGACTATGAAGGGAGTGCCAAGAAAGTACATTGCACTTATCAAGGCACTCTACTCAAACTCACGTAGCTGTGTAAGGGCCTATGGGGAATTGTCATCTGAATTGATAACAACCAGTGGTGTCCGTCAAGGATGTCCACTTTCCCCTTTTCTGTTTAACTTCATCATAGATATGCTAATGGAAGTATCCTTAACTGAACTTAACGACGTAGGAATCGACTTGTCTTATAGACTTAGAATACGCAGATGACATAGTCCTGTTAGGGGAGGACACTGACAAAATGCAGAGTCTTCTGAACACCTTGAGCTGCAATCTCCGTATGTTTGGCATGCGATTCGCCTCTGTGAAATGTAAGATGCTGCTACAGGACTGGACTACGTCAACTCCTAGCTTAGTGATAGGGAGTGAAGTGATAGAACATGTTGACCACTTCACCTATTTGGGAAGTTGTATCAGCACCAACGGATTGATTGGTGACGAAATCACAGCACGGATCCAGAAAGCTCGGGCTGCTTTCGCTAACTTACACCGTCTCTGGCGTAGGCGTGACATCCAGCTGTCAACCAAGGGACGTGTATACTGCTCAGCAGTTCGCTCCGTCCTTCTCTATGGCGGTGAGACGTGGCCATTGAGAGCGGAAGACATGAAGAGATTGTCTGTTTTTGACCACAGATGTTTACGATCTCTTTCTCACGTTAGGTGGTATAATAAGGTAAGTAATGTTGACGTTAGGCGTAGAGTGTTGGGCAAAGAGGGAAAATCAATCAAAGAGGCTATGAAGTTACATAGATTGAGATGGTTAGGCCACGTGCTGCGCACGCCTAACCATCGTCTCCCCCGACGGACGGGCATTACTAGCTGATATAGGTGCAGGTTGGAAAAGAGTGAGTGGTGGCCAAACAAAAACATGGCATCAATCCATGAAATCCCTGACAGTTAAACTGGGTCAGGTAGGGAGATGGAGACTTCCGGGTTGGGGCCCTCGGGACTCTAAGAATCAATGGCTGGAGACAATAGGTGACATGGCTCAAAATCGTTGTCAATGGCTTACGCAGATGTATTCAGTCTCTGTAATATTCAGTCTCATATTCCTTTTCACCATTAATCATTGTTTCACTCTTATACTTGTCAAAACTCTATTGATTCTCTACACTCATTTTCTTGTCTACCTTTGTGTGCTATTTGGAACGTGACAACTCGAACTGCTGCACTTCGGTGCCAAGTTCTATGTTGAATCCAGCAGCAGCACTATTAAAGCAGTTGTTTCTATTGTTGTCCACTAACATGTGAAATCTTGGGAGGAATGACACGGTAAGTGCTTTACGTCTATATGTAAAATAAGCCTTGCAAAGCTAACAGTGGTTCACAGTCAAACCTCAGCAAAACACTTAGTTGATCGCCTTACTTATTTATCAAAGCTTACAACATATCACATGGCACTTACCTATTACCGATAAAAAACCTACGGACTTCCCAAAAAAATGTCAAATAATCCTTGTATTTGAAGCGCACAAGGCATACAAAAACCAGAGAGCAGCAAGTGTGGAGGTCTTATATACCCAGTGCACGTGTAGTATTGGGTTACCACATTTTCTCTAAGTAGTATTCTTTTCGTTAACTTAGCATGCATAACAAAGATTTAATCAGAAGCGTCATGAAACCATAATCAGTGAACTACTGAAGACAAAATTTACCAATACAATGTTGATAACGTGAAAGAATTCGGATATTATGGGTATAGAGGTAAGATGTTTATCATCACAAAGTCAAACATGTCTCATTTCTCAGTAAATTCATATGATTACCACGCTGAAGTGATATAAATCTATTTCCTACAAATCCGTTGATTTACCTTAAAATTCTTTATTCTGCGACCTCACTTTATTACAATAAAATATCAAGTAAAACAATTACAACAACCCATTCCAAGGAAAAACAATGTAAAACCTACCGCAAGCCATTAAACAATTGCTTTGATTTCTCAAGGAGGTGACAAAATTCTGAAACTATATTCTGATCCCCTTGCTCCACATTTTTATCTGAAGCCATAGATATAACCCCAACGGGATCAGACAACGTACGCGCGCAAACCATTTAACTTGCACCAGGGTCACCCGCTGAATGCACTAAGGACCATATAAACAAATTTGAGTGCAGTGAAAAACGAACCATAAGAAGGCCTTCAAAGTTGCCCCGTAACTTCACCTTCAGTTTATCAGAGAAACATAAATATACAAATCTTTGACTATTCAGTTCACCGAGGGAGAATGCTCTTGATGTTTCCCCACTAGATGACACTTCATGCGATTTTGGTCTTACGAGAAAATAGGATTAGTGGGTTCGTTTCTTCTGAGGATAAGTGCATGCTTATACAGTCAATATGTGTTTTATTGTGTGACTTCACACAAGACGACTAAGAGTGGGAGGATTAACTCTATTTACAGAGGCAACAAAGTTTTAACACACAGTATACGGCGAACTACTTATAACCGATCCTCCTAAAAAGTCCTCCTAAAAAAACCGAAAATAGTGCAGTGGAGTGGCAAAGAAGTTTATCGGAGACCAGGTTCAAGTGACTTGCTATGTGTCTAGAAGGTTAGAAATCAGTCTAAGACGTGTTGCAGTGATTGTTGTATGAGCATCAAGTGCCTACTTTCCCCAGATACCTCATACTTCTGTTATCTAGTATTCCTGCTATGAAAGACAGGTGAAATAAAACCTTTGCACATAGACAAAGCTGACGAATAGTCTAGGGTACGCTTTCTAAATGGTTGTGAGTTAAAATTCCATTCTTTACGCCTTTCGTAAGAAGCTGTTCTCAAGGATTCGGAAGCAATCAGTGGGAGTATCGACTTGCAATTATAGAAATTTCCCACTCTAGAAATCAAGACGTCCGTTCACATGTTCGCATAAAGCATAGTCGTCATCCTTATGCCTCTGCAAATAAACGAAGCAGGTAGGGAAACACAGAGAGAAGTGGGAAGCACTGTGTGTCTAAACATGGCCGTCCTGTGCAGCATAGCACAAATCTATAGAAATTCGAAGGTTTTCTGTTGGAACCTTTGTGTGTGAATATACACTGCGATGGAACACACCATTATGGTGAACGTATCCCTCAATCAGGCGAAAATCAGTAGGTAACGAATATGCTGTTATGATAGGTATGGGGTAAGGTGCAGCGGCAGAAACAACTTAAAATTCCATTAGCCACATCCCCACAGACACTAGATATATAATGCTGACTTCCACTACTACACTGCAGTGTTCGTGCTGGGAGCACAATATCAAGTGGCTTAGAATTTTGTCACAATATCATGCTACTTTCGGTCGTTCGACTACGTTCCCTAGGTTGTCGAACACTCCTTTGTGCAAGTTGAACCATAAATATATGGCGCATGTCTGTATTTGGACTAATCCCCCTGAAACACTTGTTGAGGGAAGGGATTTGTTGCGGTTATTCCATGCTTAAATGTGTATGTTGGTGGGTATTTTGATGAGCATATCCTATGCTTGTTAAGCGTATTGTATTTACTGCTCATGCCTTTTCCAGTGTAGTGGCCCAGATGGAATCTAATACGATGCATTTCTTCAGGGTAGTATGAAAAGTTTATTTTTATGGCTAATGCGGGTGATTTAGTAGGAAAGGTGTCCAGCAGTCAATTAACAGAGTGGCTGGCATACGAAACGCTTTCTAGTGCAACCAGATTAAGGACAGAGGAAGTGTAACCTATTAATGGCTGACTTCATGGTAATAATTTGATTAAATAGGGCAAACAACAACGCTTTCTAGTTTTCATAGGGTTAGTACATGTTATGGTGACTATGCCGCGATGTGTCAGCAACAATGACAGTTTTAAGCGCAATTTATGTCTAGAAGTATACTGTTGAAATTAGCATCATTAAGATGGTCTCACGCATAATTTTAACCGAAGCCCCATAATGTGGGAGTTAGCATAAAGGCCAGTGCTATTTGAGCTGAACACAAGGCTTCTTCAGTGAAGCTGATTATACGTGATTCTTCCATTATCACACTTCATCGCTAATTATTTCTCACAAGATTTATCCTGGCTACTTTTGGCCGGTGGTAATAACTCCAACAGAAAGCTTCCAAATAACACTTACACCTCAGAGGATACATATGGCCTATTCATTGTAGAGTAGACAATCCTTGGTGAGAGTGCCACAATATGCCATTGAAACTCGCTGATGGCTTCCCTCATGGTAATCCAGTTATTTGATGAAACACCTCAGAGGGGTGGACCGTGAACTTGTCGCTGCAGCTGACGCTGCACATCAGACTAACCCAATCCTTGCAAACCTTGTCTCCGCAGGTAATTGGTTAAGTACACTTTTGGAATGATTGATATTTTTGATTATTGGACTCAGAAGTTTGGTCTTCCAACTGCCTTATGTCAATGTCCAGGTCTAACTACCCTGGACTTACGCTGTTCTTAGAAGACTTTCGGAGACTATTGTCAATAACCAACGCGAAAAACCAGAACACAAATTGGTGATTCAAGAATCCTATATTCTTGCGCCAATACAGAACCAACCACAAGGTTATTGTACTCAAAGTCTAAGGGTAAATGTTATAACAATTAATCACAATAATACTTCTGATAGTTTTTCTCTGTCTTCTGACAAACAGCGAACGATAAAACGATGACTGCAGTATCGATGACTCCCGCCAAAATATGGAGTTGGGTTTGAGCAAACAACCATGAATTGATCGTTAGTTCTTCAACTACTTTGACACTGTATTTACATTAAGCAGGTGCGGTGTTCCATCGGGTGAAACCCTGGTTCTTCTGTGTCTGCGTGACTGTAGTTCCATACCAATAACCTTCTGCATACGGACCGCTTTTACTGTGTAAGCCACAACCTAGTTGAACTAAAGACCATGTAGAACCTGAGAGACCGATCTCGGAGCTTGAGAGAGTTGACGAGCGAACCAATGTGTACTTTGCTCCTACCTACGTAAAGTTACTCCATCAATATTATTCCATTGTCTTGTCTTATGGATACATATATCGACGATTTAATAATTTCAAACGTGCATATATGATTTAAAGTATTGATGGTGCATGCAAACGGGCGTCCCTCATTTGCAGACAAATGAGAATGTACTGTTATTATTATTATTATTAAATCAAGGGATTTAACCTCGAATGTGCCATTACTGTCTGAAAGAAGCTGGGATCTCGCGTCACTTCGAAAGAAACAATTCAAAGTATTTAAAGCATACCAATGAACGAGTACGACCGTAGATGAATGCATTTTTGACAACTCGCGAATTAAACATGAGTTTAGATCCTCAATATGAAAAAAATTAAATTTTTAAAAATAAAACAATAATGGCTGCACAGGTCTAGGTTATAAAAAATGCTTTTGCTCCTAACATCTACAAGCCTGCTCTGCTTCTTGTGAAGACGCTACACAAGTTCGCCAGACATCTTACAGGTCAGCACATCCAACAGGTTCTAATCCTTCAAGCCACTTCTCTGTGAAATGTCACTTATATACTTCACGACAATCTTTCTGTCTAATTACTATTTTACTCCACTTTATCTCAACTCCCTAGGCCTTTTTAGGGCTGAACTTTACTCTTTCCATTCACACTCTTCGCTCGCATAAGGTTTGGTTGCTCTAATGAAGAAAAAACATAACAACAACACCCATGTTTGAGAATAACTATATTTTCGTCGAAAACATCATAGTTTTCCACGGTAAGACCAATATGGTTAGCATCATACATTGCAAATGTGTACTATTGTAACAACAGAAGACAAGGGCCAGGCAACAGATCGTTTATTACGAAAAATCAACACGTATTTATAGATTTTTATGTACATTATTGTAGGTCAATGTTAGTAGAAAATACAGTCTGTTGATTGGTTGTTTCTCACACAAAGTTAACCTTGAATCTCTTTTGGCTGTGTCAGTTCATCTATATGTTAACTGTAACCGCCTGTCCACCTTGACCTTTGACATCAATTACTGTCAACCAATTTGGCTAGTAGACAGCTCTCACCACACTATCATTTCAAGTACTATATAGCTTCTTCTTGTATTTTTCTTTTGAATATACTTCCAATAATGTATTATTCATAATTGCGTTTTGTGCCATTTCGCAGCTGTGCAGGGTTTTCTTCTCTTCCTGATATAGCGTCCAATCACTTGGGGGCATAGCACTCATTCAAATATATGTTGTTTATCTATTGACCATAACTATCATCAGGAAATACAACGAAGATTGGGTTGTCGCTCAACTTCGATGGTTACTTTCATGAGGGATTTACAATTTACCATTTTTAAGAATCTGTTCCGATTGCTTGTACATGATTCAACAATTTCAACTTTTGGAAAAGTGATAATGTATGCTAACTCACAATTGTAATTTGTAACATTATTGATCGCGCCTGCAAAAATGGCATGCATTTCATGTAGGCTTACTCATTTACACGAAATATGGATTATTATTGTAGTTATAATGCCTCCAAACAACCTGAATCAGACTGACCAAGTCATACATTTTCTTTCTTCTTGACCGCGCCATCTTTGAGTCTGTAGTCTTCTACATCAAATTTTAAAATGTTACTTCTTGCAACCTACAGCTGACGATTTTCTTCAATACCCATCGACCTTCCACAAAGAATGGCTACCGAACTCATTAGTATCAAATAATAATGGATGAAACTTATGTTTATTACACCGAAAACGGTCTTGTCCCATGACAAACCCTCGTTTTCTATCATCATGACAACCAAAGTGTCAAACTACAAAGTACTTTGGAAGGTTTCACAGCTGTTGACAGCCACTTAAATCCTTTTAAAAAGTGGCCTTTCTATCAAAATACTTATCCAAATTACGGAAGAACAACTTTATATATTGTGGGCAACTAATGGTACTTAAAAACCAATATTTTTAAAAGCACGGCAGAGGGTAAGTGAAGCGAAGAAAACCCGGCTAAACACATGAAACGGAGCTCATTACTGAGTAGACATAGAAAGCATTACAAATAATAAAGAAGATATAATTCCTAATTAGTTGCCAATCCTATCCTTCTGGATTCCCAAATTACCTTTTACATCTGAGTGGCCACTTCACACAGCGTTTTGGGGGCCCCGCACCTACACCAAGAGGAATAACATTCCACCTTGTTACGCAACTCTAAGATTCAGCGTAAAG